ATGGACACTTGAAGAATTTACGACAAAATTTGAAAAGTTCCATCCATAAAAATTTCTTTTTTCCTATCGTTTACCAGCATATTTTTTTTCTGATTTTGTGGTTTGTACGGGAACTTGTGGAAACATCTTTCATCGATTTAAGAAAATTTGGTTAAGATTACTTTTAAAATTAAAAAATGTCAGGTCAATTTAATTCAGGTGTATCAATGATTAAAGTGCAAATGCCCATAGTGTTTGGAGCGCAAATGTCTTTTCGAGTAACAAGTAAAAATGTGCAAACGTTCTACGCCTATGGCACTTGTCCATTGTTGAAACCCGTATGCTGACTGTTAAATGTCGTTTGTGTGCTTGTGTCGTGTGTTCACTTCTCATTACTGTACCCCCCCCTTTTTTTCCCCTTTTCTACATCTCCTTCTACGTTAACTCAATAACGGTACATGTACAAAAATGTTATGTTCATAACTAAAGAAAAGACGTTTGGGCATTTTCTCTTAAATTATTTCTTTTAATTGTCATTTTCAAAAAAATGTTTCATAAATCTATAACCAGATTAGACAGTATCACAACTTAATGTATGTACATCTAGGTTCTAACAATATTTTGTCATCACATAATATTTTTTTTACGTGTTATCAGATTATCATGCTTAAAGTTGACTAGTGCTTAAGATTGATTTAGGTCAAATTTTGAGTACTGTAACAATGTATTTATCCAAAAGATTATGAGGGTCATTCAAATCCAAAATTTAAATTCTATTGACATATACACTATGTATTGTCCTAACGATAAGCGATCAATTGTTTGGTTCTGGTGATCGTTCGTAGTTTTTTTTAACGTTAGAACATTCTCTTAATTGTCTTTAACATAAAAAATGTACTAAGTGTTTACAGATTTTAATATGTTGAATTGGGTTTTTTTTTTTACAGTTTATCATTTAGACTTTTTCGTCAACTTACTGATTTTTACCCTCGGCGTAAAACAAATACAAAAACTTGGCCACTCTTGATACTATTTCTAGCAAATAATAGCTATAGCTAAGCTCGCTGTTATTTTATTTTGTAAGCAAAAATGAACAATCAAGACTTATTTATTTTTTTGACCTTACATTTGAATATCCTCGAAACTTCAGTATAGTTCTTGTTACTGATGTGATATATGTAATTCAACCCATATATATAGATTATAACATGGCCTTTTTCATATCAGACCCCTTATCAGCCCTAGGTCATGTTATCAGCCCGAGAGCCGACAGGCTCCAGGGATGATTTTGACCATGGGCTGATAAGGGGTCTAATATGAAAAACGACATCTTATGTTCTTTTTATCATATACTTCAGCAGAAGACATACAGACAAAACTATTTTTAAAACTTTGAAACAATGCATTTGTTGTAATATTTGTTTTGTATTTTTTAATAATATATTTTCCTGATTATTAATATTTTCTTTTTCTCCAACTTTGTTATGTTCTACTAAAAAAAAACGTACCATTTAGGTACATTTTCCGGAATTTGCCGAATGACGTCGAACTATCATGCGATAACGTTACAGAAAAGCATGCGATAATAACCGGAAGCAGTTGATATGAAACGGAAGCAGTTGATATAAACCGGAAGCAGTTGATAACAAAAGTCATACCACACGGCTAGGGCAATTCTTTAAATTTAATGAATAAATATATGTACAAATAAGTTTTATCATGGGGTACAATTATACCATTATTTTCTATAAGTATATGATAAATATATATATATATATATATATATATATATATATATATATATATATACGACCAGCATATCACAAAGATTTATTTGAATTATAAAATATTGGTAATGGACCATTTAAATACTTAGTTTTTCGAAGCCAGTGCTCTGTTTAAAAGAAAATTTTCTAATGGTACACTTCTGTAAAATTATACCATTTAAAAGAATTTAAAAGCATTGTTCAGAAAATCGAAACCACATAAATTTTCTTTTATCATATTTTCAGATTTATAAGTTTCACGAAATAACTCAGTTGTTTCCAATAAACCCAATAACACCTTTTAAATAATTAAGGATTTTGTAGTTAAGACTGGTTTTTGATATTTAGAGAATTTGCTGAGTTGCGTTATTTGACCTCTATGAAGATTTTTCGATTATTTTTTTTCGATGTTGATAACATATCTTTCAAAGTCAATGTAAGATTTATTCTCATGTTTCTTGGGCGATTTATATCTTGATATTGTATGGACGCTTGTCTATTGATAAAACCCGTATTTTGACATTGCGATGTCTATGATGTATTTTATGTATGTGTGTTTTTACATGTATGTGTCGTTTGGATGTATATGTGTGTGTTTGGTTCTTGTCTCATTGGCGTATAACCCACATCTAGTGCTTACTATGACAAGATAATTTATTTAGATTCTGAATACCGTTCGATGTAAAACAAGAAATTCAAGATATTAAAACATTAATTTTGCTAAATTGTTTTCAACAACAAACATATAATTATATAGCACTGAGTATCAATATACCGATTTACGGAATGATATACTTTTTTGAAAAGGAGTAAATTTGGTATGGGCCATATTTGGCTCCGAATATAAAAATAAGTCCATTGTTTAAAGATAAAAGATGTTTCTTACTAGTTGATGATAAGACACGTAAAAAAGATAAATAGAACTATTTTTGTGCAGCTTTTCTCGTACCATGTCAACATTTAGAACCAAAATAAGCCAAAAATAAAGATGTTGGTGTTTGACAAAATCGTCTGAATTTCTAACAAATAAGTCCTAGGAAACAGAGCGCTGGCTTCGCAAAACTAAGTATTTAAACAAGATATGAAAAATGTTATGTCTTGTTGATGAGTGCGCTCTATGTTTCCAGTTAAAAAAATCGTGATTCAATGTGATATTGGTCAATTAATCCTTATTGCTTATTTGAAATTTTAGCTAAAAAAAAGGGTCAATTTTAGGGCCTTATCGAACCTACTCCTGTATACAAAATGAAAACAAGTAACCATCACATTTTATATGCGTTGTTCACATTTTGAATCAGAATTAAAACTTTAAAAACGCAACATCGGCCGAAATTGTCTTGTGCAATAAAGGCAATATTATTCTACGTTAAATCAATAGCTGCTTTTAGCATATAAAGTTGTGGATTTCAAAGTAGATACATGTAATTCATTAAACTATTTAACATATTTCAATCATTATTGTACATGTATATCATAGGATATTTATTTATTGTGATAAATTTATACAGTTAAATGCATAATCGTTTGCACGAAGTACGCGAACAAATTTTATTTGAAAGGCGGGGCTAGTAATATGTCAATAATCTTGGGATGTTTTTACACAAAATGAAAGCATTTGGCAGAATCAAATAATGTGTCTTTCAGCTAAAAAAAGATCAGCATTTGTACATGTGTAAATTTGGCATCAATTTTAAATATGTTAAATAGTTAAAACATCTTTAAAGTATATAATTCCGACTTCTTAATTATTCCAAACTAAGTTTCGTCAACTTACTGGAGCTTAGGTCATGTGTTGATACCACATTTAAGCAAATGATAGCTACATTTGGCAAATGGAAATAAACAATCAAAACTTCAATTTATATTTTAAGCCTGACAAATTTGAATTCAACGAAACTGTTGCTGTTGTGATACATCTTATGCAGACATCATTGGGAAATATGGTTTATCAGAAAGATTCATATGCATTATTAATAATTTGTAATGATACACTTTGTAACATTAAGCTATTTGAAAGTATTGTTCAGAAATTCAAAACCACAGGCATTTTCTTTTATCATATTACAAATGTATCAGATTAATAAGTTTTAAAAAACATTGCAAATTGTTTCTAATAAATGCAAAGTCTAATATGATCATTTGAGTTTAAGTTGTCAGAGATCGTTTTTTTCTTTTTGTTTGTCACTGGATTGCTGTCTCAATGACCTAATACAAAATCACATTTTATTCAAGTTAGTTATAGGGCATGTACATCTACATGTCAATACATACACGTGTTAAGAAAATACCTGTTTGTACCGATTTTTCAATTTGTAACTTTATATTATAAATGAAAGGAGATATGGGGTCAATTACAATGAGACAGCACACCAACGACATAAATAAAAGAACCTACATAAGTGGTATGTTAGGACATTATTTTACTCGGTCGAAAAGCTTGCTTAATTCTAAACGAATCATAATAGTATCTAGAATTTCTTCATGGAAGACCAACAGGAATTACAGTACATAGAATCTTTATGTCGCAATACAAAGGTTTCATGTTAACTTTTTGACTTTAGTAAAATATATTTTGAAAGGCATAACTAGTAGATAGATATAAGACGATGTGGTATGAGTGCAAATGAGACAACCCTCCATCAAAGTCAAAATTTATAAAAGTAAACCTTTATAGGTCAAAGTACGGTCTTCAACAAGGAGCCTTGGCTCACACCGAACAGCAAGCTATAAAGGGCCCCAAAAATTACTAGTGTAAAACCATTCAAACGGGAAAACCAACGGTCTAATCTATATAAAAAACGAGAAAGGAGAAACACTTATGAACCACATCAAGGTTTGTTGTGTCATTAGTTATCATTGTGGTAATAATGACTCTTTGTGTTATACTAAATACAAGCGGCATATTTCTTATGTTCAAGTCATTTTAAGGAAATCATAAAACCGCGGAATTCTAAACAAGCAAAGAAGCCTTAAATTTGTTTTGAAATTAAAAACAATCCCGAGTTTTAAGTTACATGGTGTTAAAAAAAAGTCATACGTAAATAAAATCCAGAAGAGTGACAGTCAATTTAGTTGAAAACTTCCTCTTTTCATTGTACTCAATAATCAACATTCATTATAATCCTTAGTGAAAATATCGAAAACAGGATAGTTTATTACTTAAATAGTTCCTGCAAAAAATATTAAATCGTACTGACACGTGCGAAAATAGAAACAAAAAGATAATATTTTCACAAAATAGATAATTATAATTACCTTTGATAATAAATAATACCAATATTATAGTAAGGTGTTGGTAAATGTTTTTATGAGTAAATAATATTTCCATGTCTTGATTAAATCCATTGAAGAAAATTACCGTGTCTGTCAAAACACATATGGAAAATCGAACGATACCACCAATCCAGAAATTACTGTAAAATTAAAAGATCTCATTCAGATCAATGTTTGTTGTATACTGACAGACATTCCAAATTGTAAGCATTATTATAACTAAGAACAAATATCGATTGTTTTAAATCTCCAATTATTGATGCTGAATTCTAATTTAGTTGTAATGAAGTGGAAGTTACTATCTTTAATAACTTTTCAATATTTGCACTCGCCGAATTACCCAGAAGCCGCAGGTGATGTGACAGTAAAAGTACCTGATTAAAAAACACAATAAGTATATATAATTAGTTCTAATCTTCTGTAACACTGTTTACTTGAGATGAACACTTATAAAGTTTTTTTTCTTGCTTCATCGGATGCAATCTTTTGCATTTTTGAGATATTGATTGTGGTATATCACGTTGAGGGAATGAAAGACGTTCATAATTCTGCTCCAATGCATTAAACGCAAAATTACCATAAAGTAATAAAAATATAAATGAGGAAGAGTTCACGATCATATCAATATAACTGTAAAGTAAATGTTCGATGAATCATAAAAAATAGACAATTAACCTGATCAGAAGTCCAGTGTTCGACGAGAAACGTTTCAATCTTATAAGGGTTCTCAGACAAAATATCCGACATTCTGGGGGATTTATTGGATATTCTATGCAAATTTCGTCTTTGAGAAAGGGTGATCAATTCATACTTGGAAGCAATACATCAAAACAATACTGATTTATTTGTTTGTCTTAGTTAGCACTAATTTAAAAGTAAGGTATACTATACATATAATATATACACCATCGTGAAATTCTTTTTACACTTATGGTTAGTTTATGTTGGTGGAGTATAAGTTGATGCAAATAAAGAAATAAAACTCCCTTCATTCAAAATATGAACCTTTAAAAAAAAAAAATACAAAGGTAGAAAAAATGTAATGAAAAAATAAATAATTAACGAGGTCTTGTCTATAACTTGTTATTTTGATGCTTCTGTGAAAACCAAGATAACTGACAGAAATAGAACATAATTCAATATGCGTAAAAATAAGTTAACAGTTTTCTTTTAGAACTGATTCACACACTTGATTAATCCATTGAATGTTGATAGGACTAAAGAGTTTGATGTGACGGCGACTGTGGTAGTTTATACTACATTTGTATTTTATTTTCCTACTTCTATTTATCTATATCGATCACATTTTTCTTCCAACTAGCCTGTTTTTTTTCGTCATTATCACAGTTGGTATAGTGTCCGGCTGGGATCGTGTTTTTTCGAGTGATTTGATCGGATTTTTTCGAAAGTGACCACGGTTTTTTTGAGTGAATATAATCAAAATTGTAAACAAACAGATTTCTTTTTTTTTGTAAGACGTTAAATAGATGCTTTACTTTTATAAATTTTGACTTGGATGGAGAGTTGTCTCATTGGCACTCATACATTGTACCACATCTTCTTATATCTATTAAACATAATATACAAGATCATACACGTTAAAGTTAGTATTGGTGGAAAAAAAAACACCACCCTACATTATTTTGTGTTCTAAAAGTTTAATTTAGCTTTACAATGCTTTTACTTCAAAATATAGAATAAAGCTATTTTTATGCAAGTAACAATGCAAATGTCAAAGGAAATGTATAATTATTAGGAATCTATATATACCATAGAATATATATAAAAAAAAAGGTTTTTGGTTGGGTTCGTGTTGCTGTTGTACTCCTATTTGTGACATTTTACCTATAATAAATTGTGTCTGATTGTTTTGTTCACACATCGTTGTAAATATAACGGAATTTGATGCGACTGTCATACAAGTGAGGGGTTTAGCTAGCTTTAAAACCAGGTTTAATCCACCATTTTCTATATAAGAAAATGCGCCTGTACCAAGTCAGGAATATGACAGTTGCTATCCATTCGTTTGATGTGTTTGAGCTTTTGATTTTGCCATTAGATTAGGGACTTTCCTTTTTGAATTTTCCTCGGAGTTCAGTATTTTTGTGATTTTACTTTTTCCTTAAATATACAGACACTTTATAAAAATTCTTGTAATTGCACTGAAAAGGACATTTTAGAATAAATTCATTTTTATACGTCCGTGTTTTTTCGAGAGCAGTCCGGTTTTTTTTAGTGCGGTCCATGTTTTGATCGAGTGATTAAACGAAATTTCAATGGTTTAAAATGTTATATGTCAGTGCGATTACGTTTAAAAACAATAAAAAAGTTCAAATAATGTACTTTTCAAAGCACGAAACCAATGCAATTAACCAGTTTGATACTACTGTAGTACATGTACGTTACTCGTACATTCGTAAAAAGCATCGTTTATTTGTATATATATATATATATATATATATATATATATATATTTGTTTGCCACATCTTATAAATTACATGGACACCGGCATTGGTATATTTGGATAGATCAAACATGTCCACGCCTATGTAAATATGATGGAACTATCCAACAAGTCAACGCCCAGGTACACATGTTGTATCGATCCAAATATACGTATAGCAATGTCAATTCAACCAAATATGGATATCATACAGTAAGTATTCGTATTGTAAACAATATCAATGTGAGCACAGATATCTATACTATTAAATGAGAAGACCTCATTTTGTGTGTCGCTTCTCTTCCTTCCACAACAAATTAATCATCATGCCTTTGTGTCCTATAGGTACCATGCATAGTCGCATTTGTCATCCTCGCTTATGATTATTCCGTTTGGGTTTATATTTTGGAGGAAAACGAAAATAAAGGCGTCCGAATATTGTTTCCGTCATCGGACGGACTTTTAAGTCATAGACAAGACTTCCGTTTAGGACTGTTTAAAATTACACATAATTTGCATAGGTACTTAGGGGACAGAACAATTATTTTCGCTTTTTATGTATACTATGAATAAAGTGTACATTGTATTTGCTATTTACTATCAATTCCAAGTTTACTATCAACGGCGGTCATATATTATATAGAGATTATAGTATATGTCTGTTCATAGTATACAGAACAACGCGAAAACTATTGAAATTAATAGAAAACAAAAAATAACGGATTTTGAAAAAAGGGGAGGGCTAAAAAAATTGTCCTGTCCCCAAGTACCTATGACTTTTGAACCTTTCCTGAAATTCTCCAGTCATAAAATCTTTTACAACAATTCATCCTACAACAGTTTACATGCTTTCAACCACGCTCTAAATGCCCGCGATTTCGCGGGTGTGTTCTAGTATATATAAAGAAAAGGAAATGTGCTATGAATGCCAATGAGACAACTTTCCACAACAGGTCAAATGACAAAGATAAAAGTAGATATAGGTCACCGTACCGCCTTCCACAATGAGAAAACACTATACCTTATAGTCAGCTATTACAGACCCCAACATGAAAAAATTGAAACAATTAAAATGAGAAAACTAACGACCTGAGTTATAAAATACAAAGTACGGAAAAAACAAAAATGACGGACATGAACAAACGAAAACCACTGAAATACAGGCTCTTGACTTCGGACAGGCATATTAAGATTGTGGCGGGGTTATACATGTTTGTAAGCTCTCAACCCTCACCCAAACTTTGGACAGTGGTGTTACAGCACAAAATTAGAACAAACTGTAAAAATCAGTTACAAATGGCTTTACTCAATAGATCGGTACGAAGCACAAACAAGCCAACTAACATAAAAACAATGAATTCAAAGTATCGATATAAGAGTACTCGCTGTTACTTAAAGCTAGTTGCAAGCCAGTTATAATAAATAAATAAGTAATGTTTTCCCAGACTAAAGTATCAAATAGTACAATGTTGGATTGAGACGTACGTACATTGTGTGTGTTAAGCGGGTATGTGTATTTTTTTTTACAGAAAATACATCCTAAATGTTTCATGAACTATTTGTCTTGATGATCATTTGTTTTATCGTTTTATGAATGGCAAAAATGAACAATTTTCAAATGCTACTACTGTGATGAGGAGTATGATCAATCGTATGTTATACTAGGTCACACAGCAATAAAACACCATGATAGCTTCCTTTCCGTCAGTTAAATGAAAAATACGGATCTCGATCTAGACATTACAATTATCAATGTATATCTTCAGAACTCTGCGAAAAAAATGAATAAAATACACGAGGTGTACGCTATTGTATACACATTTTTCTTATTATTATTTCAAAAGTATCACATCAAAGCTTATAGATTTTTTTATTTCATTGTTTATTATATATTCTATTCAATTCAAAATTTATTGTCAAAAAGAAATAGTATAGGGGCGGATTAAATGTAATTTGCTTTCTTAACCCTATTTTTAAAACTGCCACTATTATCATAAACTATTATTTACTGTAAAAAAAATTGTAGCATGACATTATATTGAAAAGATTATAAGTCCCCTGTTCTCGGTTCTAAAGACAGTTTATCAAAGAATCCAGTAATTTCTAATATATCTTAATACTGCAAGGTTATGGTGAAATGTTTTCAGAACAGAAAATTATCGTTAAATTGAAAAGGGTTAGATTTGATCAAAATAGTAATATGTTTAGTCACTTATTAGGAATATATAATATTGCCCTTTGCTAAATTAAAGTTACAAACAAGAAAAAGTGACTTTTTAAGCCCAAGAATGCCTTCTTTCTTATTCACATTTTCTTTGAAAAACCCGGACGTTTTAAAAGTTGCTCTCGAAAAAACACGGACAATGTAAAACACTAGAATGTTAGTAAACTACAAGGAAATTGTGCGTCGTTTGTACTCAAAACATGTTTAGTATTCAGAATAAGATGAACAGCCATGAATGAAACTATTATATACGCGAAATAGCAGTAAGTTGATCTGATCGCATGTTATATCACTCGAAAAAAACCGATCTAACACTAGAAAAAGTTGACCGATTCACTCGCAAAAAACCCTATACCTACCGTAGTTATGTATGTTTCTTAGTTAGTGTTCCTATTCTATATAATTTATATTAGTTACTTCTTTTTTTCTAGTATATTAGTAAGTTTAATATTTTGGGACGAATATCACTCATATTAATCCTTAATTTCAGATTTTAAAAAAGA